CAGACTGTAGTCTTCAGTCTTCATCAGTAATCATCAGCTTCAAGTAATCCTCACTTTCAGCAAGCAAAGTTGTGTCATCTGCATATCGCAGGTTGTTAATGAATCTTCCTCCAAACCTGATGCTATGCTCTTGTTCATAGAATCCAATTTCTTGGATTATTTGCTCTACATACAGATTGACTAAGTATGGTGAAAGGCTACAACCCTGACACACTCTTTTCCTGATTTTAAACCATTTGTCTTCCAAATTTCTTGGCATAGATGAGTGAGTGCCTCCAGTGCAGCACCTGTTTGTTGAAACATCTCAATGAGTATTCCAACAATTTTTGGAGCCTTGTTTTTCACCAAATCCTTCAGTGCAGTTTTGATACAATCTTTTTGATGCAATCTTTCTTGCTGTTAAGTGAAGAAGACTTGGAGCACTTGCTGATGAAGATCAAAGACTATAGCCTTCAATACGGGTTACAGCTAAACATAAAGAAAACAAAAATCTTCACAATGGGACCAATAAGCAACATCATGATGAATAGAGAAAAGATTGAAGGTGTCAAGGATTTCCATGGTCAACATTCATGGAAGCAGCACTTAAGAAATCAAACAACATATTTCATTGGGAAAATCTGCTGCAATAGACCTCTTTAAAGTGTTAAAGAGCAAAGATGTCGCTTTGAAGACTAAGGTGCCCCTGACCCCAGACATGGTCTTTTCAGTATCCTCATATGCATGTGAAAGCTGAACAATGAATAAGGAAGACTGAAGAAGCAATGATGCATTGCAATTGTGGTGTTGGTGAAGATTATCACATGTACCATGAACTGCTAGAAGAATGAACAGATTTGTACTGGAGGAAATATAACTGGAATGCTCCCCAGAAGCAAAGATAGTGAAACTTCACCACTCATACTTCGGGCATGTTATCAGGAAGGATAAGTTCCTGGAGAAGGACATCATGGTTGGTGAAGTATAAGGTTAGTGAAAGTGAGGAAGTCCCTCAATGAGATTGATTGACACAGTAGCTGCAACAATAGTCTCAAGCATTGCAATGATTGTAAGGATGGTGTGTGACAGTATTTTGTTCTGTTGTGCATGAAGTCACCAAGAGCTGAAAGTGACTCAATGGCACCTAACAACAACACAGCAGCCTTTATGAAAGCAGGTAGCCAGATCTTTCTCCTGCAAAACAGCTGGGTTGGTTTGAACCAAGAGCTTAATATTTATTGGAGGCGGGGCAAGATGGCGGACTAGGCAGAAGGATTGCACAGACCCTCTTCAAC